GGTGTGAATACCTGGAGTCAGGGGTCTTTGGCGGCTATCTCAGGGGCTGGCCAGACCGAGAGGGTTGTCAGAACATTTCCCTGGCAGCCGAGTCTTCTCTGTGCCCTGCCTCCTGCTGTCCTGGCCTGAATCTGGCTCCCAGTCTTTCCGTCAACCCCATGATCTGCCGGACACCCTTCCAATGTGTTCTCCTCTGTTAGGGTCATAAGCTCTGCTTTCACCTGAGAGGGCAGCGGTGGGGACGTGGGCTGGGAAGGGAGGGAACTCTCTTTAGATGAGTGGTCAGATGGGACCTCCTTGAGGAGATGCCATGTGCCCAGACCTGAGTGGGGACGAAGGACCAGTAGATGAAGAGTGGGAGGATGAGCACAGAGCTCAGAGGCGGGAGCCCAGATCGCTGGATGGTTGGAGATAGCAGCAAGTGGGCAGTGGACAGAGAGGTCAGCAGAAACTGGTCACTCGGGATCTTGAGGCTGTGGTGAGGAGTTGAGATCCCTTCCCCTTCAACCAGAGCCAGACACGAGAACCTGAGAAGGCTGAGGACCAGACCTTGTCTGGGAATCAGAATCAGCCCATCGGTAAGCAGCTTTAGCCAGACATGACAAAGAAAGGCTATACTTTGTCCAACACACTCATCTATTTTGTAGGTGTTTGGGTTTTCCAAAGTTTTGGTTGGGTTCTTTCCTATGTTTCTTAGTTCCTTTTGATAAATTCCAACTCAACTCTGCTGAGCTAAAGGGAAAGATTTTTGTCTATAGTTAGGCCTGGGAATCCCAGCTGGGGCATTTGGTCATCTGGTGGAGACAGACAGCTGCCCAGGACCTTGGTGGGGCAGATCAGGGGGGTTCTGATGGACCCATCGCTCCAGTCTTACTACTTTGCAGTCCTTTCTTAGCTCAGTAAGTACTTGACCAGGGGGCTGGGCTAGGGCTCAGTGGTAGAGCACTCGCCTAGCATGTGTGAGGCCCTGGGTTCGATTCTCAGCACCACATAAAGATAAATAATTAAAGGTATTGTGTCCATCCAAAAAAAGAAATCTAACTTAAAAAAAAAATACTTGACCAGCATCTGGCATGTGCCTAGACTCTGGTGGGCATCAGATCAGGAAGATGACCGTGACACTGTTCCTCATCTCCAGGAATCAAGGGAGATGTGAGGAATGGCCCAGTCCACAGTTATCAAGGGAGAGAGTTCCCTGTCATTTAGGAACTGGCAATATGGTCCATGTTCAAAGCCAACAGTCCCTAGGTGCCCTGGATCCTAGATAGATACTTTCCCTCCAGCGTTTACTAAAAGAGACAGAACTGGCTCCACATCCACTAGTCAGCAACCCAATTTTCTCTTCCTTGCTCATATAATAATCCTAGAGAGGATTTTATGGATTTAGTGAGGAGTACAGAATGAAAACGGGGGTCAATTCCTTTCCCTCCCAACTAAAGGGGTGTGTGTAAGGAGGCCGGAAGGAGGTCTCTCCTGGAGATTCAGAGTGACCGCAGAAGGGTACGGTGGGATGCTGCTCCCTGATGGGAGTCTACTTGGCAGCGGGCTGTGCCTACCTTAGCAGGGGGGAAGAAAAGTAGAAAGAGGGGGCATTGCAAAGCAGCGGCCAGGACGCCTGTGTTCCTGTGGGTCAGGTGGACACTGTAGTGATGGGCCAGGCTGGAGCACCTTCTGATGGCTCACCCACGCCAGCTGACGGCTGGGCGAGAGGGTCCCAGCAGTGGCAGGACTCAGGTGTTAGGGCGGCCAGAGAACTATGCATCGGGGTAGCCCCCTGAGAAGCCACACATGGACACTCGAGTTTCAGCCAACAGAGAAGGTTCTTGCAGGGGCTGGACACGGGCCTAGGTGATTCCCTTTCCTCCTGCCCTCCCCACTCAACAAGGGGAGGACGCTGGGGTGCATCTCCCAACAGACCTCCCCCTTCCCCTGCTTTTTACTTCCAGAAGATAGGGTCCTGGCTCAGGTCAGTCCCTGGATGCCAGAAGAAGAGATAAAATGAGATTTAAATTGAGTTTGAGAATAAAGCTTCAAAGGATGGAGGTTTAACAACAGAAAGTGATCCAAAAGTAATGCCATCTGCCCAAAATGTCATTAAGGGATGGGAAAGGGAAATTCAACGCAGCATGGCTGAAGGCAGAGATTAGGGGGAAGGCTTCATTATTAGGCCCCACGGAGCTGAGTCGGTTCAATACACTGGTTCCACAAATAAACAGAATAATTGAAGTACAGTGTGGCGGAGCAGCTGGCGGCTCACCCAGGTAAGCAGCCACAGGGTTCCCAGAGAGCCTGGGGAGCTGGGGTTCACATCCTGGGTTGGCTGACGAGGGGGACTTCTGAAGGGAGGGGCACTGGAGCCCAGCTCTGGAAGGAGAGTGGAAGGACGTTCCAGGCAGGAATGACCATGCGGTACAGTTGGGGAGCAAGGCTGGAGCATCAGGTGGGAGGCTGGAAGGCTGGTGAGAGAGGCAGGGGGAGGCCTTGCAATCCTGAGAGTATAGGAAACGGGAAGTTCTTTCAAACTCAGCAGGAACAGTTGGATTTGCCTATTAGGTAAGACCCCCTGGTCTCCAGACTCTGGCAGCGTGAGGATGACCCCGGGCCTGCCCCTCACTCCTTCACCCTGGGCACCCTACAAAGGCCGTTTCCCCTGTGAGTCCAAAATCCTGGCTCTCTGCTCTTGAATGTCCTTTGCCCTACTACTCTTGATGAATCCTTCACCATTTCCCTCTTTGATGGGACACTGACTGTCGCCACCTCCCTTAATCATCTCCTTGCTGACTTCCAGTCCACAGGCTCAGCCCAGCAAGACTCCTCTGGGCCTCTCTGCCAGCAGTCTCCTGGGGATGCGCATGTACCAAAATATCTTCCTTTATCTTGTCTGGCCTGCGCCCCATGGGGCAACCCGAAGGCTACTATTTATTCTTTCACACATTAATTTAAGCTGTTTTAATTGCTGCTATGATATGTTTTATATAATATAATTAATGTTTTAATTCTGTATACTTGCTTCCCCAGGCAGTTTCCTGAAGGGCCCAATTTCAGAATCAAGCAAATAAGGAATAAGTAATGGCTGAAGTTATTATAGTAATGCCCCCCCCTCCCAAAGGAATTAAAACTGTGTTTTTTATTCAAAGAGGGTCAAAAAGGAAATGATATTTCAATCTTCTGATTATCCTGGGCATGTTTGGTGACTTTAATGAAGACTGAGGGTCCTGACTATGTTGCTGGCCTTTTCCTGTCTGGTTTTCACCCTTTCTCTCCAGGGGCCACTGAAGCTTGAGATCCGTGTTAGTAGCTTTGTGTCCCCCCCCCACTTCCCTTGGCACCTTTTTGTGGAGGACCAGAAGTTCTGAACCTGCTCACTCATTTCTTTATTCATTGGACAAATTGGAGTCCTATTTGGTGCCCAGGACTGGGATAGATCTGGCCCCACCCTTGGAAGTTCACAACTAAGTGGGACCAGGCAGAGGGACCATGACTTGGCACACTACCTGCTGTGGGATGTGGGCAGGCAGGATGGGGTGGAGTACCACCTCTGTTTCAGGAACTTGGGGGAAGGCCTAAGAGGAGACCACATTAAATGGGTTTCACAAAGGAGAAGGGACAGAAGGAAGGTGCAAGATGGTGAGAAAAACGGTAAGGAAAAGTAATTGTGTATTTGGGAACTGGGGACAGGAGGAACATGGCTGGAAGGACAGAGCAGAAATTGATCATGGTTGGGGAGGTTGGGACTGAGCAGGGAAGGGTTTGATCCAACAGGCTAAGGAATTCGGATCACCCCGAAAGGAACAGGGGAACCCAAAGAGGTACTTAAACAGGAAAGGGCCCCATCCGATCAGATGTGGAGTTTACCAAGGGTTTTGCCACAGTGTGGGGGCGGGGTGGGGTGGCGAAGGGAAGGGGGAATTATCTCCTGGGATGTCGCAGGTGCTCAACAAGTAGTCCCCAAATGAGTGAGATTGTTAGCACAGTCCAGATGAAAGGTGACAAGCTTCTGAATTAGGACAGTAGCGGAGGTGATAGACACAGAGGTTTCACAGGGCTGCAAAGGTGCCCTTCACAGCAAAAGCCAGGGGAGTGGAGACAGTGGCTCCCTCGCTCCCGGTCTCCCAATCTGTGTAGCCTGGCCAAGAACCTCAGAGTTTAGAGGGCGTCATTCCGGGTTCAAGCTACTCAGGTTTCCTGGGGAGAAAACAGAGGCTCCCGGAACTCAGCGCGTCCGGGACGCTCCCTGGACCAGAACCCCGTGATCCTTGGTGACACTCCCTGGACTAGAACCCCGGTGATCCTTGGTGCCATAGGTTCCAGAATGGCTTGGGGAAAGGGGACGGGGACTCGGGAAGTGAAGGCGCAGGGAGGCCTCGGGTCTTTTACCATTTTCAAGGCTGATCCACGTTTCACAAGTGCCTGTCTCCAGGAGCTGGAGGCAGAGGTGCATGGATGGGTGGATGGGGACGCTGGGGCCTGCGCCCACGCAAGGGGATTTCCTTTGAAAGAGAGAGAAACTGGATTGGGAAACCCGTTTCCTTGAAACTGTTTCCCGTCCTCCAGCTGTGGCCTTCCCGTTTTCTGGGGTGATGATGGTGGGGGAACTTCCGCAAGTCTCTCTATCCCTGGGGGGGGGGGGGGATGCTTTCGGTTCTGCCGGGATTCCCACAGGTAGCGCGGGGGAGAACCGGGGAGGTCTTGGTGGCGACCCCAGCACCCACTGGGATCCCTCCTCTCCCTTCTTCCCTTGGACGCAGCTGGCTCCTAGCCCGCCTCTCCGTGGCTTTTGGGGTCCTGGGGACGAGAGGAAGGGCTCTCCTTGGGGACACCTCCTCTACCGGGGGGTGGGGGGGGAGGAGCGCCCCTAAACTCCCGGAGGGAATTAGACTCCTGGGAATGTCCTGGGGGAAACCCTGAAGGGTAAGTAGCCAGGGGCACCGTCCCCGGCTGGCCGCGATTGGTCCTCGAAGATCCCGCCCCTTTCCTGGGCGGGGCCACAGGCTGGGCCGGGGAGTTACTGGACGCGGCGCACCAGGACCGGTGCCCGCGGTCGGCGTCTGGCCTCGCCATGGTCCGGCTGCCTCTGCAGTGCGTGCTCTGGGGCTGCATCTGGACCTCCGTGAGTAGTCCGCGCCCCACCCGACGGGCTTCAGATTTTAGGGTGCGGAATGGGAGGGAAGGAGAAGCAAGACCTCGGGGAAGAGGCCCCCGAGCTGACCTAGGGGCGGGGAGTGCGGACCGGAGGGAGTGGGGGAGCAGGAGGGAGTGGGGGAGCAGGAGGGAGTGGGGGAGCGGGCCAGGTACCCCGATCGGGGCTGAAGGTGAGGTGGGCTGCCCCTCGCCTAGCGGGGTGGGGCTCCGGGGTGGCCCGCCGAAGGCGCCGAGGGGGGCACTGCCCTCACAAATGCGCCTAGACTGCGTGGAAGGGTTGGGGCGTAGGGAGCCCCGGCTTCCATCCGATCCAAGGGCTGGGTCCGGCTTGCCTCCGAGGCCGGCCGCGCGAACTGGAGGGGATCCAGAGGACGGGAGAGGAGGCCGGCCAAGGGAAGGGGCGGGTTTCCTGTCCCTTCCCTGCCTTTTCCCACCGTGGACAGAGGCCAGCCCTAGTGGTTATCACTTCCTTACCAGTTGGGGCTGCTTTCTTCCAGGGCATCTGGCGGAAACAAGGGTTGGTGCAGAGGACCAGGTACCTTTGCAGGAGGCAAGGTGTTTTTACGCCGCCCCCTTATCCTGGAGAGACAACCTAGAAGGATCTATGTATGCCTCTACCTCTTGAATCTGAGATGACCTGGGGGACTCCTGGGGGAGATAAACAGTTCGTGGGACCCAAGAAAGGGTTAGAGGGCCAGCAGGGGATTCTCCAGGCACCAGAAGGGCTCGACCCAACCAAGCATATCTCCGGGATTTTCAGAAGCTCACACTTGATTCACTTTTGGTTTAAATGTATTTTTGTAGTTCCTCATTCTGGAGCCTGGGAATTCCCCGAGTACCTGGCCCTCTCATCCCAGCCCCTCTGGCCGCCCCCTACTTTCAGGGACTCTTAGATTCTGCCGTGAGGCTGGACAGGAATGACCCAGCAGCAGGGGAAGACGTTGTGAGGGGGAAGCTGCTTTGGTCCCAAGGTTTCATTTTCAATCTAAACAATGGCTCTTAGGGAGCAGGGAGGTCAGGAGGGTGGAACTGGAGAGGGTGGACAGTGGGGAGGAAGAGCAGGGGTGGTCCAGGCTTCTCAAGAGCAGTAGGCTCCCTGACCCTTCATTTGGCCTCCAGGTAGGGGCTGGACAATAGCAGGGGCTATTCATCAAGGTCTTCCTGTGTATGGAGCTCCGAGGAAGATGCTAAGTGTATTCTCCACCTGACTTTTCTCAACTCCCCATTATACAAATCATGCAAACTGAAGTTCTGAAAGGGAATTGTCTTGCCAAAAGTCTCATAGGTATATACTGGTAGAACCTGCATATGAATTTTTGTTTGAAGATGGCATCAAGGAATTTCATTGTTCAGGGAGCGTGGTAGGAAGGTCCGTCTTCACTGGTGGGGGCTTCTGGTTGGGAGTGGTAGCCTTTCCCATTTCCTTCCCAATTTTGGATAAGACACATATTTTTGTAAGTAGTTTTCTCAGCAATCCAGGTTGAGTGACAGCTGCTGATCAAATGGGTCCTGGGCAGACAGTTTGCCAGGGTACTGGGCATCCAAGCAGATACTCATCTATATATGGTGAGTAAAAGTGCCGTTTAATGAGCACCTGCTATGGGCTAGGCACAATGCTCTGTACACGTGTTCTTTCTCATCTTCTCAGCCCAACCTGCATAGCAGGTGTCATTACTCCCATTTTGAAAGCCAGGAAAGGGAGGCTAAGAGAACCAAAATAACTAGTATGTATTATAAAATCCACAGCCTAAAGCTGTCTGATTCTCAAACCTATCCTCTTTTCCCTGGCTGTTCCCAAAGTGTGGGATGGTTTTAGGGAGCACATGGATATAGAACTAAATATAGGCTCTTTATAGTTCTTTTAAAAATCCTTCTTTTTTTTCCCCCCAAGGAAGAAGTCTCTGAAGCTAAAATATAGTAATGCCTCTCAGAGGCTTGCTAATCCTCCTTCTTAACTAAAACCAAGAGCAATCCTAGGGCAGAGGGCCTTTAGCTAGTAAAGCAACCACCTGGGGTTTAATAGCATTGTTTTATTTCTGTCAAATTTATTTTTAGGGTTTCCTTTTATTTATGAGAAGTGATACTGGTTCAATGACAGCAATGACATGAGGTTTGCATTCAAAAGAGCTGTATTTAAATTAGTAAGAAGCAATGAGTATCATGGGTGGTGCATAGTAGAAACGGTGCAGGTAAAACACAGCTGGTGGAGAGAAGGTATATTGCAACCTGTGGGTTCTGCCCCTGTGGGACCCTGGGCGCAAGTGACCCAGTCTCTCTGGTGATCCACTTCGCCATCTGTAAAATGAAAGAATCGGATTCTGTCCTTCCAGCTTTGCAATCCTAGCGTCTTGTGAGGGAGGGGTGAGGTGAGCAAAATGCAGAGTTGGGGGAGAAACCCTGCGGGTCTTGGAGGTGGGAAGAATGCGAGGAGGCTCTGTAGCCCACCCAGGACTGGGGTCCTCTGAAGCCAGCCAACCTCAGGACTCCCCGGGAGGTATGGGAGTCCTCCCACCTGTTGAGTCTGGGAGGAGGAAAGACTCAGGAGTCAAGCAGGTCTGTTCAGTTCAGAGAATACTGAGTTTCCAGAGCTATTGCTTTGTAAAAGGCCAGAATGATTCTCTGGGTACTTTGAAACTCAGATCAGTTGACCGGTTAGTTAAAGACAAACACCCGGTACTATGCAGGCTTCCTTTTCTGTTGGATTTCCATATCAGGATTAGCCTCTGTCTGGGCTGATTTTCAATCCTCCTGCCAAGGAGGTGACAGCAGAAACTTGAAGATGATTTTGTTTTTAGGTCTACCCAGAGCCACCCACTGAATGCAGAGAAAACCAGTACCTCCTAAACAATCAGTGCTGTAATAAGTGCCCACCAGGTGAGACGCCACCCTCAGTCCCACTGTGGGATGCCTCTTGGTTTCGTGGCAGATGCAGAGCCCATGTACTAATGCTAAACTGGCCTCTGAAGCAACCGTTGCCCTCCCGGCCCTGCCGTCGGAATGTCCTGGTTGCCTCTCTGCCTGGTAAACCTCGGCCGACTCCAACCTGGGGTCCTCTCTCTTCCATCTCTCCCACCAGAAGGGTCACCTTTAAGCCCCCACCTGCACGCCCGGCCGGATCCTGTTGAGATCCGGGCCCCGTGGGCCAGCGCTGCCCCATTGCCCGCTGTCTTCCAGGAGAGAAGCTGGTGAACGACTGCGCCCAGCTCACCGAAACCCAGTGCCTGCCTTGCAGTAAGGGCGAGTTCTCGGACACCTGGAACAGAGACAGACGCTGTCATGAGCACAGATACTGCGACCCCAGTGCGTGGGCTCGGGGGAGGGGACACGTGGGACCCAGCGGGTGTTTCTGACAAGGCAGCCACTTTGGTTCTAGTAGCCAGGGCCTGTTCTGATTGGTTGGAGTCGGGGTGGTCCCGGTGGTCCTGGGTGGTCATTGCTGGCTGCGCTGGGAAGAGGGTCTAAGAACACTGAGCCGGCAGCGTGAGGAGTGGGACTCCCACCTGGCGCGGCAGGTTCCCACCTCCCTGCCCACTGTGCTCAGATCTCGGGCTCCGGGTCGAGAGAGAGGGCAGCACAGAAACAGACACCCTCTGCGCCTGCGAGCAAGGCCGGCACTGCACCAGTGGCACCTGCGAGAGCTGTGCCCTACACACCTCATGTGGCCCTGGGCTTGGGGTCAAGCAGCTTGGTACGTGGTCTGTGAGGGACGGCTCTGGAGGTGGGGAGAGGGCGGGGGGCCAGATCGCAGGAGGTGGGCAGTGCACCCAGCTCCAGAGGCAGAGGGAAGGGAGACTTCAACTAGGTGGGTTTCCGCTGGAGTGAGCAGGGCCTCCCGCCTCCTGCCTCCTGCCGTGGGTATGTGCCGGGGAGGCAGCAGGGCCTCCTGGGCTGCACTGTCGGGGGCAGCTCTCTGCTGGCTCCCCGGAGAGCCAGACAGGTAGTCCGCGGTGATGTTTCATGTCCCCTCCCCACCCGCTCTCAGGTACAGGGACTTCTGATACCATCTGTGAACCCTGCCCAGTCGGCTTCTTCTCCAATGTGTCATCTGCTTTTGAAAAGTGTCACCCCTGGACAAGGTATTAAGGACTCACCCCCAGGGGAGCCCAGGCCCTGCCTCCGTCTCTCCAGCCACCGTCCCTCTGTCCCAGCTCCCCACCTCCGCCCCGTGCGACCCCACGGCCAGCCCGGGGGGCTTCCAGGGTTTTCTCGTCTGCTCTCTTCGAGTGACAGACACTCTTGGCCTCTTCATCTCCTTGAAGCGCCCTTCTTGGGGAGTGGGGACACCTCCTTCGGTGCTCCCTTCTGCCCCCTCCTTTTCCTGCTCCTTCAGTGCTCTCCCTGCCGTGTTCTGGGCTCTCTGACCACTCGGCCACCTTTCCTGGGCCATCTCTTGGGATCCTCAACTCCCATCTCCCTCGGATGGTCGCCAAGCCACGTCCCCTGTTTGGATCTATCCCCTGGGTCCCAGACCGTCCTGTCCAACGGCTGGGTGTTCGCTTCTCGGCAGTGACTCACCGGCTTCTCCAACTCTGTCCAGATGGCCCCGCCGCCCGCTCCCCTCCCCTGGGGGAAAGGGCCCGCTGCGTGTGGCTCTGGATAGTCGCCCCCAGCGACTCCCTCCTTACCTCCAGCTCCAAATTTGGCCCCCAGGTCCTGTCCCTCTGGCCCGGGTCTCCCTGCTCTCTCCTGAGCCATCACTTTAGTTCGGGCCTCGTCGCTGTCATCTGCTGATACCTTTGCGTCCACCGGTCCCCCCACTCGTGTCGCCTCTTCCCCTGCTTCTCTCTCTCTTTTATTCTTTTTTGATTTATTCACTTATTTTTCAGGGCTGGGGACTGAACTTGGCCTCACATTGCTGGGCAGTGCTCCACCACTGAGCCCTGTCCCCACCTCGTTCCCCCACCTCTTGCTAAAGTGGGCTCCCAGTTCCTCTGGGTCATGCTGTTCCCCACTTCAGGGTTCTTGGTGGCTCTCCTGCCTCCGACAGGAAACGCAGACTCTTCCTCACCACATTTACGTGGCCTTTCCTGACCTCCTGTCCCCGCCAGGCTGCATCGTGCCGTCCACACTCCCCCCGAGGACACGATTTATTCTGTTGGCTCAGACTCTTCTGCCTGGAATACACTTAAACACATGCACCATTAATTTTTTACATCTAATTTTAAAAAACGGGTAACACGGGCTCATGGGACAGAAAGTACCAAGGGGCCCACGGTGATAATCCTCCTCCCAGCCTCCCAGTTCTCCCTGGAGGCAGCCTCTGTTTCTTGAGGGTCCTTCCAGAGATCCTGTGCATGAACAAATAAATAAGCACACACTCACTCTCTCTCCTTTTCTTTATTTTTGTTTGTGGGGCTGGGGATAGAACCCAGGGCTTCGCACTCGCTAGGCAGGTGCCCTACCGCTGAGCCACACCCCAGCCCCTCTGTTATTTTCTGTGGCCCACCACGTACGCTCTGCTTCCTGCCTGCCCTTCCCATGGACTGCAACTCCTTAAATGGAGAGACGGGGCCTTTCCCAGCCCCAGCCCCCAGCCCCTGTGCCTGGCCTGTGCTGCTCTGGGGCAGGTGCTCCCGTGGACTTTCCTGGTAAGTCCTGCTGCTGTCCTGGAGGTCCTGCGCAGGTCGAGTGACGCACGGGCTCCAGTCCACCTGCAGCTCACCCCTCCGAGCCTTGTCCTCCCCTGAGAAATGGAATGACCTTCCTCTGACAAAGCCCGAGAGGAAGACATTCAGGAGTGTGTGTAGACGCTGCAGCACTCCTCCCACACGACCAGAGGACGCACTCTGTCCTGAGCTGCTCTCTCTCTCCTGCCTTCAGCGGGTTTTCCTTTGCAATGTCCTTTCCTGTCCATCCGTCGTCCCTTCTGCTGGGGCTTCCTGGGACCAGGTCTCATCTCATATCGAGGCTCTCACCATGCCTCCCGGCTGGCCACTCTTCTGCCGTCCCTCCTCCGAGATGCTGGTCAGCTGCTTCCTACTCAGTAGGTTATGTGGTTGGATGCTGCATCCAGTCAGACCCTCATGCCTGGCTGTCAGCTCTGTCTTCCTGTGGCTCCCCAGCACCACCCACGTGCCAGCTGCCTGGTCTCCCCCCTCGGCCCTGTCCGCTTGGCTGGAATGCACGGCGGCTCCAGACTTCCCATCCTCAGGCCCTCTCAGATCTCCTCCTACAGGGAAGGCTTTCTGCAAACCTTTCTGAACCCACAGCGTCTCAGCCAGGCGCAGATTTGCTCCCTGTGGGACCTGGGCCGTGTCTGGACACCTTTCTGTCACCACTGGGGAGGGGGAGCTACTCGTATCCAGTGGGTAGAGCCCAAGGATGCTGCTAAACGTCTTACCATGCTCAGGACCGCCCCTCCCACCCCGACACGGGATTATCCAGCCAGGAGGTCACTGGTGCCAAGGCTGAGAAACCCTTCCTTAAACTCAGCTCAGCATCTCTCCCCTGCAGCCATTGTGGATGCCGCCTCTGGGTGCCCACTTTATCAGCATTCCAGGGCTGGCGCTCATTATTGACTCCACTGTCCATCGCTCCTTCAAGACATGCGGGCATCTTTCCTTTGCCCCTGTGAGGTGCATAAGAACAGTCTGCGTCCTTCCCAGGATAAGCCGGACGGGCTGTTGTGGGGAGTGTGTGCTCTGTGAGCCTCAACTTGACTGCACTCTGCTGGGGTTGGATACTGATGGCTGGGAGACTTATCATTTCTCTCTCTCTCTCTCTCTCTCTCTCTCTCTGTGCGTCTGCGTGCCCACATGTGTGTGCACATGTGTGTGCACAGCTGTGAGACCAAAGACCTGGTGGAGCACCAGCCAGGGACCAACGTGACTGATGCTATCTGTGGTGAGTCCTGGAGTAGGCCCTGGCAGCTGTGGGGACTGGAGGGGCGGCTGAGGCCTGAGACACCAGTGGGGAGGAAGGGGGGGACAAAGGGAGAGGAGGAGGCAGTTTGGGGGTGTGGTATCCCAGCTCTGCCCTTTATTGTGGGAGCCTGGGCAAGCTGCTTCCCCTCTCTGAGCCTCCGTTTCTTCATCTGTAAAACGGGACGACAAGTGCACCTCTCTTAGTAGGCCGGTGCAGGGACCTGGCCTGGGTTCTTGCACTATGGAGGTGCTCCACGAATGCGATTCTGCCACCCCTTACTTCAGGTCCTAGCACACAGTGACATTTTCCCCTGTTGGCCTCAGTTTTGATTTTAGAACGAGAAGGTTGGCTTACAGCACAGATCACCAATTCAGATGACTACAGGGACTGGGCAGGTCATGTTAGTGAGGGACGGAGGTCAGGGGTGAGAAAAGCACACCGTCTTTGCTTTTTCTTGAACTCGACTTCCTCTTGGCAGGGCTGGGAGCAGAATGAGGTGATGCGGCACTTGGCCTGAGCCAAGTGTTCAAGAGAGTGCCATCAATGCCGTAACCAAGATAAAGCGTTTTGATGCAATAATTTTTTTATTAGTTTTTTTTAGTTGTTGATGGACCTTTATTTAATTTTTTTTTATTTATATGTGGTGCTGAGAATCGAACCCAGGGCCTTAATGTGTGAGGCAAGCGCTCTACTGCTGAGCTATATATAGCTCCAACTCCTTGACACAATATTATAAAAATCAAAATGAATGCAAAAAATTTGTGATAAACAAAAATAGCAAAATTTTAAATAAAGGCAGGATCTGATCCTGCATTTGCAAGACCCTGCCTTCCTCACATTACCCTAAGCTTGGCCCTGGTTCCAATAAAACTTTATTTAAAAAACAGATGGCTGAACCGTCGGCCGTTGTCTGCTCTCTTGGTGTCCACCGACTTGAAAATTGAGGCATCAAACCAGAACTTATCTTGATCCCCGAGTCGTCCGGGGTACCTGTAAATTTTGTCTGAAGTGTCTGATTCCTTCTCTGTGTCAGAGCTCCTGCCTCTTGGTCTTTCATTTGCCCACTTAAAATAGAGGCTGAGGAACAAGAAACACTTGACTTCCCTCTTGCCTTTTCTATAAGAAGAACAACGGTCTAGACATGAATGACGCTGGATCTCGGCTTTGGGCAGGGGGTAGGGTGACAGGAAGCTGGAGAGCCCGCCGCTATTCAGTTCCAGCTGATGCTGTCAGATGGGGACACTGGCTCACGGGGCCCTGATCTCCCCATTTTGTAGGAGGCCAGATATCCAGGCTTTTAATATGCAATGTCCTCAGTAAAGAATGTTGGCCAATATCTCAAAGCATATTTAGGGTGATGAGATGAAAACAATGTGCTCCTCACCCTAAAGACACCTGCCAGCCATGTTTCCTCAAGGGACCCATGTTTGAGACCTGTGATGTCACAGAGCTCAGACAGTGGAGGGTTTGGGTGCAGCCCTGGGCCTGGGGGCGGGGGAGCTGTGCGGGGAGCCTGCTGAAGTCTGGTTGCTCTAGGTTTCCAGAGTCGGACGAGAGCCCTGGTGGTGATCCCCATCGTAGGGGTCCTCCTGCTGGCCATCTTCCTGGTGTCGCTCTACATCCGTGAGTCCCCAGGTGGGTGGAGGGGCCGAGGGAGGAGGAGGTGTCGCGTCCCTGGTGGCTTGTTCTGGCCTTCCGGCTCACACCCTTCTCTCTCTCCTCTAGGGAAGGTGCTCAAGAAGCCGAAGGACAAGGTAGGTCACCCCGGGACAGAATTTTGGCAAGAAAGATTTTGTTGCCTGTGGGGCAGGAAAACCGACTCGGGGTCTGTCACTGCGGTCAGTGGGGGGCAGAACAGGCTCCCCGACCCCTGCCACCTTCCAGCCTTGCTTCCTCTGTCCACTTACTCAGTCCCAGCCTATCACCTCCAGAGCTGACCTCCTCATGGAGCCTGGCACCACTGGCCAAGTCCTGCACCCCTTGCCGGGCGCTCACCCCAGGGGAACGCGCCTTGGGGTCTTGGAGCTGGGCCCAGTGTGGCAGCTCCTTGAATCCACTGGCTCTTGCTCTGGAAGCCTCTTGGTACCCTCAGTGTGGCCACCAGGGGGCAGGAGACACCCAAGGAATCAGCCCTGACCCCTGGGAAAGGGGAAGGGGCTTGGGGAGGGCCTCTGCTTCCCGGGGACAGGCTGCGGGGTGACCTCACACCTTCCTTCCCAGGCCGTCCATTTTCCTAAGGCTCAGGGGCAAGATCCTGTGGAGATTATTTTTCTGGATGATGTTGCTCCATCTCCTGCGGCTCCAGTGCAGGAGACCTTACATGGCTGCCAGCCGGTCACCCAGGAGGACGGCAAGGAGAGCCGTGTGGCCGTGCAGGAGAGGCAGTGAGGCTGCGCCTGCTTGGGACACGGCTGCACGGGTCCAGGACACCTGGCTGAGAGCCAGGAGCTGCTGCAGTGGTGACAGCGTGCAGCCAAGGGGATGACGCCGACCAGGCACAGCCCCCTCGGCCTCCACCTCTGCACTCAGAGGAGCCCACGGCGCCCTCAGGGACTCCCGCCGCACACCTGGGCTCCTCCAGTTGCACAACTTGCTTTGCTTTTGGAGATGGAGGGAAAACTCTGGGGGCCCAGGGGGAGACGGTGACACCCACCAAGCCTCCAGCCCAGCTGAGCAGCCTGGCACCCAGAGACGTGTCGTGTGGCTTCCACGCGCCCAGGAGGCTTATACACGTGTGTCCGTTGCAGCTTTTTTTTTTTTGTACGTCGTTGTGAATGACTGGAGACCACTTCCCTGTCCATCAGCAGGGACTGGTAAATAAAATGGTACTGTATTTATACAACAGGGTCTCCAAGACATGGTCCAATGAAAAGACAAAAGAGGTTGTGGGAGGATAGACACAAAGACCTTTTCAGTGGACACACCTGTAACAACAGGATACGTGCAACAGAGTACAGTCATGCAGACACTCACCTACTGTGTGTGCAACAGACAGCATCAAGATCCAGGAGGATATTGGGAGTCTCTGCATAGATACAGTATGCATCATATCTGTAGGTAGAACAAGGGTTCTGGAAGGAAACCCAGAAACCCAAACTCACAGACCTGGTCATGTTTGCTCTGGGGAAGGTTTGGCTCTCCCCTGATGCTTCATTTTTTTTTTTTTCCCAAAAGGAGAATGAATTCACATAATGCTTATGTAATTAAAAAACCCATCAAACATGTAAAAAGAAAAACGGGGGTGGACATGCCGGGTGACAGGAGCTGTTTAATTTGCTGCCTGGCTCACAGAATGAGGGCATTTTCAGAGGATAAGTAAGAATGTCCCCAGGGCGCTGCCCCTCCAGGGTAGGTTCTGAGTGTGCTTGCATTTGGCATCCAAGTTTGCAAGATGTTCTTCCCATTGATTCATGGTCCCAAACAAAACAACAAAACAAAAGCCTTTGGAGGCCAGGAGGGTCTGCCTCCCTCCTCTTTCAGAGATGGAAACAGAGGCCCAGAGAGGTGCAGTCATTTACCTGTGGACACACAGGGAGCTCAGACACCCCCCCCCCCCCGTTGGTCCAGAGCTTCCCCCAGCTCTGCCTGCTCTCTGCAACTACCTCTGTAGCCCCTTCCAGGGAGGTCCTGGGTCTCCCATCACAGGAGCTGCTGTCTCTAGGTCAGATGGTGCCCTTCCTCCCCAGCAGTATCTCAGGATAAAAATAAGCCTTCCTGTTCTCTTTTCCTGCTGTGCCAACTGAGGGGGAGCCTAGCCAGGAGGAGCAGCAGATGGAATGGGAGCAGAGGGGAGGGGGGACGGCTGGGGACAAGAAGAGCGGAGCATAGAGCAGAGGGCTGGGCAGAGCCTGGCGGACTCCCAGTGGGGGTGAACCCGGGCCCCTCTTCCTTCCCCAGTAAGAAACGGCTTTGGATTGCTCCCATGTGTCCTGTTGGCTCACATGTTCTGATGAGGGTTGGGATGGAGAGGGCTTGTCCCCGTGGAGGCTCTGATGGCAGCTGGGAGCCAGGAGAGGGGCACCTGGCTTGGCAGTCTTCCTAGAAGAGCCTCAAGAGCCATTTGGAGGCACCAGGTGGAGGGAGAGTCTTGGTTTGGAAAGCAGAGCTCAGTGGCAGAGTGGGCGCAGGGGGGCTTGAGTCCTGATCTTCATCCCCCGCCCAGGGCCCAGATGCTAGTGGTCTCACTTCTGTGTGGTGGTGTGGCCGACAGAAACAGACTCCTGCCTGCCACCTATTTGCATGAGATCTTGGGTGAGTCCCCTTCACTTTCTGGATTCCTTGTCTGGGAACTGGTGGTGACACTTGTAGCTGTTGGGGCCTCTTACGTCCTCTCCTAGGCCAGAGGTTCTCTACAGTACCAGAAGCACCTGTAAGCTTGGGAAGCCAGAGATACCGGTGGCACCTCCAGTGCTTCTCAGTAGGGACGGTGATGAGGAATTGCGTTTCTGACAGTTTCCCAGGGGTTAGTGCTGCCGTTGGTCCAGGCTCACACTTTGAGAGCCACCGCCCTGGGCCTTCACAATGCTGTATACGTAGCCACGTTCCTATTGCCGGCACCTGGGACCCCTGGTCTTGAAGACGTGCTTGGTGTGACATAGGCCGGGCAGGCTGTAGCCGGGAGAGTTAATGACCTGGGGGACACACTCAGGGTTCAGAGGTGAAGGGTATAAACACCCACATTCCTTCCCTCAGAAGGGACAAACCTGAGGTGTGTCCTGCACAGCTTCCGGGGCTCTCTAGAGGGATGGAGTTGCAGGTACCCACAGTAGGTGCTCTGCTGGTCCCTTCCTGGTGTCCCTTCCCCACTCCACCACCGCTTCCTGGGTTCAATTTCCCAGCACACCGCCTGTCCCCGGCCCTCGTCTTGTGTGGGGGAAGTTGGTGTGTCTTGGTGTCTCGAGCAAGGGAAGAAGTTACTCTTGGCAGCTCTTGCAAATTCTGGTTCTAATTCTAATGGAACTTGGTCAGGAGTTTTCTGTGTAGCCTCTGGAAAGTGATTCTCTGTTCTGGACATTTCCCCCAGATGTGTCATGAAGGGCTGGTTGGTTCCCTACGGGTCCTGCCAGTTCTGAACTGTGGACAGGACCAACCCCCCAGGGAGCAGGGTCGGTCCTGGCCGCAGATGCGGGGAGGGCTGTGAGGCACGCATCAGCCGGCAGGTGGCGCCAAGGTAACGTCCGAAGGCCTGGCGTCGCTGGCGGCCGGAGCGCAGGTGGCTGCGCTGACGCAGGCTCCGCCCACGCCCCGGTGCTGGGGCTGGGGTCCTGCCTCCGCGCCCGGGGGGCTGGGGTCCTGCCTCCGTTGGCGGAGCCGCTCCTCCGTCCATCCCCCAGGGCTCATCCTGTCTGTGAACTCCTTTCTTTTACAGACATCGATGAGGTCCCCTAATGTGTTCCTCCTCCTAGGTCAGGACCCCCGCACTGCGACAGGACTGAGCTCCTGCAGAGAGCATGCTGCGTGAGCACCTGGGGCCCTCTCCGGAGTTGCCCTAGTGGATGGCACCGCCCGGGGAGGCGTGGCCTCCTACCATACCCATTTTACAGATGACCTCAGGCTGAGATTTGGACCTAACCAGGTGCACTTGAAAGCCCGCGATTTTTGCCCCTCTGTGAGTGAGGAAACAGGTGCCAACAGGTCATTCAGACAGTGTGACTGTCCCGGTCCATGAAGAAACACAGCAGCGCAGCTATCTCCAGAGCCAGAGGGCACTTGCCCAGGATCCGGAGGGAGGGAGGCTGGCAGGGCCAGGACTGGTGTGGCAGAGACTAGGGCTGTCCTTGGGGAAGCGTCTGTCCGCTCTTTCCAGTCGTTACCCGAAGGAATGAGTCTGTACCTTGCTGCGAATCCAGATGTTTAGGTGAAATCTCCCAACAGTTAAATGTCACCAATTCCACAATTTACAGAAACAGACTCAGTGAACACCCAAGAAACAGGTGACAAAGGGTTGGTTGAAAGACTGGGAGTTTCATGTCTCACTCTTTTGTTTTACATTTGGGGAACTGAGGCCCTAGAGGGTCCAGAGCCAGGTCAGGCAGGACACCCTCCCGGCAGGCTGTTCCCAGCTGGAGAGGGGAGAGTCCCTGCGGGTTTAGGCTGCATCCTCTGCAGGGGGCAGGGTCTGGGGCATTGAAGCGCAGGTGGAGGGCCTTGCTTGAGAGGGCCCGCGGGATGCCAAGGCCATGACCAGTCCCTGAAGCTCCAGCTCCCATCTCGGAGCCTTCAGACCCTGCAGCCCATCCTTGGGTGGCAGAAGGTATTAAGGACTCTGCCCGCTAGGATTTCTCTCCCCAGAGCGACTCTAGTTAGAAAATCATCAACCAGCCTGTGGGGGTGGAGAGATGCAGTTTTAATTTGTACCAAAGCAAGAGAGAAAGCCTCCCATGCTGTGGCTCTGGATGATGGGAGGAGCTCATGACGGGGACTCCCCTGGCACAAGCCGCAGTGCTGATGGGGTGGGGTGCAGCAAGCTTCGGCCCAGTGGGCCAGTTACAGGGGACATCCCTGTTCTGAACCTTCCTTCTCTGTCCCTGGGGCTCTCCGCCTCAGCTTGCTGGCTGGCAATCACGCCGGCCTTGGCCCCCACCTAGTTCCTGTCTCCTCGTCTCCCAGGACTCCCTCTCTCCCGGGCAGCATCTGCCTGGCCCTGGGCTCCCCTCCTGTCCCCTTCTCCTACCACCTCCTTTCCCATCCCCAGCTCTTCCACCTCATCCCTGCTCTCTTTCCAACAAGTGCTATTGTTATGGCTGATTATAAACGTCACGCTGTGCACCGACACCCCGTCCATGCAACAGACGGACTGCAAATACGACCACCTGGAAGCCTCCCACCGCCCCGGCCGACCACAGGGCATGGTCCCTCCAGACTTGCGTTCCATGCCAAAAATGTTTTTTAAACTTGGGATATTATCATAGGCACTGTTTGGTAAGCAGCCTTCTTTGCTTAGCAGTGGAGCGGACATCTCTCTGTGCCCATAAATATAGATTGACAACATGTTTTTTAATCACTGCACAGATTCCATGGTGTCGCAGGAGTCCGGTGCTGCAGGACGTCCAGGAGGCCCCTCTCCTCCCTCCCGGGCCTTCTCCGCTCTCTCTCTCTCCTTCTCTTTCGCCCTCCTGTCTCCTGCCTCCCTTGCCAGCATCCAGCATCTGTGTCTGTCCCAGATGAAGGACATCTCTGGCCCTCCCTGTTCCCTCCAAGCTCCCTGCACCCTGCGGAGGGGTGGTTGGTTGGTGGCGGCTCGCCCCCACCCCCCTCTGTCGGAAGTGTGCCGTCTCATTAGCCAGCCTGTCCCCCCAAGTGAGGCAGGCAGGAGCCACTGGAGCAGCGAGAGGCGTAATTGAATGTAACTAATTATTCACTCCCTTAAATGGGCCTGGGAGGGACAGAATCACTCACTCTGAACTGGGGAGACAGGGAACTGGCCGGCTGGCAAACCAATCCCGGGCCTGCAGAGCCGGCTCTCCCCGGAATGCTGATTAGGGCAGGAGTGAGGAGACAGACGGCCGAGCCTCTCCTCCCTCCTCCCCCAGGAAGTCGGCTCTGGAGGGGAAACGGACCCTCCTGTGAGTCTAATTGGAGGACCCCAGGGAAGGGTCCACATGGGCGGGGGACGGAGGGAAATCACCAGGCAGAGGGCTGGGGTTTAATATGGACAGAGACGGGAGGGCCCAGGGAGTGGGAGGGAATGAGCCCGGGCTGAGGGTGGGGTGGCAAGCCACCATGGTCCCACCTGAGCCAGGGACCCAGCTGCTCCCAGGAGGAAACCCTCTAGTCCCAAGCCGTGCCTGGGCCAGGCCTGTGCTGAGGGCTGGATGCCCAGCTCCTCTCCAGGCCTGTTAC